TACTAATATTCTTTTAATTTGTAAAAATAAGTGTCACAAGATGCCACCAGAACAAATATGAACGACAAAATCAGTGTCACGGACAGACTGTATCTGACAGTTGCAGTGAGTGGAGGATGATGGTTCCACACTGACAGATCTCAGGCTGGAATTCAGCAGGCAATGGGGGGGGGGGGGGGGGGGGTGTGAGCAATCCCACACAGTGACAGTTCTGACACAACACAGCACCGACACAAATCAGGAGGCCCAGCAGGCACTAGAAAAGCAGGCTGTGGGATTGTGATGTCAATCACTGACACACTGCACATGTGATGGGTGTCTGGCCAGCCGGGTCACGCTCACACAGACACAACAATGAGTCAGACATTACCTTCATCCACAGGTGCAGCTCTGCATCTGCTGATGAATAAAAGAGAAGGGCTGGAACTCTATAGTGATCAGCAGCTGCGAGACAGCTTGCAGTAAGGAACAGAATCTGAGAGGAACACTGGAAGGAGCGGCAGCTCAGCTGCTACACTGGCCCCAGACACCTGACATCTTCCTCTATCCTTTCTTCCTCCACTCTGCTGCCCCTCCTCTCAGCTGAAGGATCATTTATGACGTGGTGGCGTCCCACACAGAGAAAGTGCCAGCCTGTGCGATGCTCAGGCGCCCCTAGGTGACAGTGCATCCTAGGCAGCTGCCTAGTTTGCCTAGTGGAAGTACCAGCCCTGGCTACTGTGGTGGATTGATCAGCTAAGCATGCGCTCAAAGGCTGCGAGTTAGAAAAGGCGGGGCACTGGTAAACACATTGAACAGCAATGTTGCCATACACCCTGTTCCAAATTATTATGCAAATGATATTTTTCTCATTTACATAAATAATGGATATAAATAACAGTCAGCATAATTCTCATGTTATAAACTATAAGAGTAAAATTCAAATTTTATTGAATCAACCTCCTGATAACAGTATTTTTTTAAAAAAATAAAAAAACTTACAATGCACTGTTCCAAATTACTACGCACAGTACGTTTCAAAACACTTTATAGGTTGTAAAGAACTGAAAATTGCCATTTGTTGTGTTTGCAGCATATTTACTGAAATCAAAAGCCATTTCAATCAAACTTAACAACATTTTAACTTTTTAAACATTTTAACAGGTCACGTTACATTTTAACATAGGTCCCCTTATTTGATAGCAGCTTCACAAGTCTTGCGTCCATTGAACTTGTGAGTTTTTGGACAGTTTCTGCTTGAATTTGTTTGCTAGATGTCAGAATAGCCTCCAAGAGCTGCTGTTTGGATGTAAACTGCCTCCCGCCCTCATAGATCTTTTGCTTGAGGATGCTCCAAAGGTTCTCAATAGGATTGAGGTCAGGGGAGGATGGAGGTCACAACATGACTCTCTCTTCTTTTATCCACATAGCAGCCATTGATGCAGAGGTATTTGCAGCATGAGATGGTGCATTGTCATGCATGAAGATGATTTTATTACAGAAAGCATAGTTCTTCCTTCTATACCAGGAAAGAAAGTGGTCAGTCATAAACTCCACATACTTTGCAGAGGTCATCTTTACACCTTTGGGGACCCTAAAGGGGCCGACCAGCTCTGTTCCCATGATTCCGGCCCAAAACATGACTCCACCACCGCCTTGCTAATGTCGCAGCCTTATTGGAACAGGGTGGCCGTCCACCAACCATCCACTACTCTATCCATCTGGACCATCCAGGGCTGCACGGCATTCATCAGTAAACAGGACTGTTTGAAAATGAGTCTTCATGTATTTTTCTGCCCAATGCAGTCGTTTCTGCTTGTGAACATTGGTTAGTGGTGGCCGAATAGAAGGTTTATGCACAGTTGCAAGACTCTGGAGGACTCTACACCTTGATGTCCGTGGGACTCCAGAGGCACCAGCAGCTTCAAATATCTGTTTGCTGCTATGTAATGGTATTTTAGCAGCTGCTCTCTTGATCCGATGCATGGATCTGGCAGAAATCTTCCTCAATGTGCCTTTATCTGCACGAACCAGTCTGTGCTCTGAATCAGCCACAAATCTCTTAATAGTGCGATGATCGCGCTTAAGTTTTCGTGAAATATCTAATGTTTTCATACCTCGTCCAAAGCATTGAACTATTTCACTCTTTTTGGCAGCAGAGAGATCCTTTTTCTTCCCCATATTGCTTGAAAATATGGGGAAGTGTGTCAAAGCATCATTCTCCAGAGTATTAGCCCACAAGGGGAAGAGGAGAAAGAGGAAAAAAAAAAAAAAAAACACATGATAGGCTGCAAAAAATGGGTCTAGATGAACATCACTTCTGTCAAGGGAGCAAGCCCTCCTATCAACGCTGCCTGATTTCGACACAGACCAAAAAGGGCATTTTGTGCAACTGTCTGTTGGTGGCTGGGGTTTCCATATAATGCAATTGGAAATAAATGACCACGTTTTCAGAAAGTGCACACATTTTAAATCACATGATAAACATGTTTGCTGAGGACCACAAATCAAAGAGCGTCACGCTAAAATGCTTACCTACTTACAACTCAGAACCAGCAAACAATTCATGGTGAATCTGCAATCCTATTATTGTACTATGTTTCCATGTTATTGTTTGCCATCTGTCTTTTCTTCTCTACAGCATGGGGGCCAGCACAGTGGTTAAGTGGTTAGGACTTCCATCTAGCAGCACTAATGTGGGTTCAAATCCCCTCCATGGTACTACCAATATCAAACCTATTAAGCACATAAAAAAAATGGCTTTGGCTCAACATCTCAGACCCCAAATATTTGAAATATCAAGAGAAAAATATCATGTGTGATTAAACTATTGATAGAGATCATTGACCGCAACAATGAACTTTTATTGATTAAAATAACACACAAACACCACACTTTGAATGACAATTGCGCGGTCATACAACATTGTACCCAAACTAAAATTTTATCATTTTCGTCATACTACTAGAGCTTTCTTTTGGTGGTATTTAATCACCGCTGGGGTTTTTTTTTTTTTTTTGATAAACAAAAAAGACAGAAAATAAAAAAAAAAAAAAAAAAAAAAAAAAAAAAAAAAAAAACACGTTTTTCTTTGTTTCTGGTATAAAAGTTTGCAAAAAAATAATTGTTCTTCATAAATTTAGGTCAAAATGTATTCTACATGTCTTTGGTAGAAATAACCCAAATTAGTATTTATTATTTAGTCTGTAGGAAAGTTATAGAGTTCACAAACTATGGGATATATCTGAAAATTGATCAATCCTGAAGTACTGACGGCCAATCTAATTTCTTGAGGTCCAAGAATGTCAGAACAGTACAGATATCCCCCAAATGACCTCTTTTTGCAAAGTAGACAGTCCGACATATTTCATAACAGGCATGGCGAGTTTTTTGAAGTTGTAATTTATTTGTCATAATTGTTTGGAAATGAGGAAATAAAAAGAAATTTAAAAAATGATTTTCACCGGGTTTTTTTTGTTTTTGTTTTTTTTTTTACATACGGTCACCAGTGCAGTACAGCATTATCATAACTGGAATGGCGGTACGAAAAAAGAAAATAAATAAATAAATTATTTATTTCACTATGACCAAAGTTGTATAATGTTACCATAGTAACATTGTACTACTTTGGGGAAGAGATCAGTATTTTTTTTTTTTTTTTTTTTTACACAATTTGCTTATAGCAAAGAATTACTTTGCTATAAGCAAGCATTTACCTGAATGAAATCGATTCACTCAGGACTTTTTTTTTTCTTAACTGTGATTTGGCCACAGCTAATCACATGACACGGTTGGGCTGTGATAGGCCCAGCTTGTGCATGTGATCCCTGTGACCATTCACACCTAGCCACACTTGTATACAATGGATGGCATGAAAGGAAGCCATCCATTGTATACAACTATCATGTGACCTGCTGTGATTGGTCACAGCAGGTCACATGGTACCAGCAACTGGGCAGGTAAACAGATCTGTCATTGGCCGTGTCCGAGGTACACAGCCGGTGACAGATCGCGCTGCTGCGTGGCTCTGCGGAAAGGCACACTGCGCATGCCTGAAAGGACGCCATATGGCGTCCACCCGGAGGGACAAGGTGTTTTGCTGGCCGCCATCTGGCTATAGGCGGGAACCTGTTAAAATAACACACAAAACACCATTACATAAACCCAATATTAATAGAATGTTCTGGGTCAGAGGTAGTAAACCCTGGATCCAATGAATCAAGTGTCATCCATACAGTATGCTTCATTAATAATCACACTCTAAAACTCACAATCCAAAAAAGTCTGCAAGTTTCCATATCTTTGCATGCGCACTTGTCCCGTGGTGGCCATCTTGAGTCCTTAACACCTTTCCGTCTGGCCTGTAGCAGATGGGCAGCCGGGTGGGACAAACATATGACGTCCTGTCAAAACGAGCCATGCAGCAACATGATCTGTCACCGGACACAGCCGATGACATATCACTACACCAGCCTGTTGCCAGTGTCATGTGACCGCTGTGACCAATCACAACAGATCACATGTCAATTGTATATAATGGATGGCTTCCTGTCATGCCATCCATTGTATACAATTATGTTAGCTGTGACTGGTGAAGGCAGTCACAGGATACAAACAAGGCCAATCACAGCCCATCTGTATCATGTGATCAGCTTTGCCCAATCACAGCTAATCACAACAAAAGACTGAATGAATCAGTTTCATTCAGTAACAATGATTGCAAATATCAATGAAATACCGTATTTTGCGCTCCATAAGACGCACCTAGGTTTTAGAGGTGGAAAACTAGAAAAAAATATTCTGAACCAATGGACTGCGGACACAGCACAGGAGAGGACCAGAGTCCGCGGACACAGCACAGGAGAGGACCAGAGTCCGCGGACACAGCACAGGAGAGGACCAGAGTCCGCGGACACAGCACAGGAGAGGACCAGAGTCCGCGGACACAGCACAGGAGAGGACCAGAGTCCGCGGACACAGCACAGGAGAGGACCAGAGTCCGCGGACACAGCACAGGAGAGGACCAGAGTCCGCGGACACAGCACAGGAGAGGACCAGAGTCCGCGGACACAGCACAGGAGAGGACCAGAGTCCGCGGACACAGCACAGGAGAGGACCAGAGTCCGCGGACACAGCACAGGAGAGGACCATAGTCCGCGGACACAGCACAGCAGAGGACCATAGTCCGCGGACACAGCACAGGAGAGGACCAGAGACTGCGGACCCAGCACAGGAGAGGACCAGAGACTGCGGACACAGCACAGGAGAGGACCAGAGACTGCGGACACAGCACAGGAGAGGACCAGAGACTGCGGACACAGCACAGGAGAGGACCAGAGACTGCGGACACAGCACAGGAGAGGACCAGAGACTGCGGACACAGCACAGGAGAGGACCAGAGACTGCGGACACAGCACAGGAGAGGACCAGAGACTGCGGACACAATACAGGGGATGACCAGAGACTGCGGACATACTACATCATATAAAGTCGCAACAGGGCCCCTCCACCCAGAATATCAAATGATCTGACACTATACATCAAGGAAAAGGACTACAACTCCCAGCATGTCATTTTTAACTTACAGAAGGCAGGCTATAGAAGGCAGGGGGCGCACTGAGCTCCGAGGACAGGCCACACCAGCAGATAGGACAGGACTGCAGAGCAGGGAGCGCACTATGGACACATACCAGGAAAGGGGAGGAGCTGTAAGGACAGGCCACACCTGCAGATCGGACTGCAGAGCAGGGAGCGCAGTACATAGACATGCCAGGAGTGGGGAGGAGCTCCGAGGACAGGCCACACCTGCAGGGCGGACCGGACTGCAGAGCAAGCTGGCTGGGTTCAGAGAGGGGACTGCCTGCTATGAAGAGCTGCGGGGACAGCCCGCTGAGAGAGGGGATAAGGTAGGGTGAACTTCAGTGACAGCCTGCAGTGGGAGGGGACAGGCTGCAGTGGGATGGGACAGCCGCTGGCCCTAACAAGGCGGCGGTGACAGGTGGAGGACTGGTCAGTATTCGCTCCATAAGACGCAGAGACATTTTCCCCCATATTTTTGGGGGGAAAAAGCGCGTCTTATGGAGCGAAAAATACGGTACATTGGCATTAGCATTCATAATGTGTTAAAAAAAAATAAAAAATCCTGATCACTTGCCCAGAGTGTACTATGAGTATACCAAGAGTATGCCCAGAGTTACTATGGTAACATTGTATTGCTTTGGTCACAGTGTGCTGAAAAATAAAACCGTAAAAAAAAAAAAAAGAAAAAATTTAATAAAAAAAAAAAAAAGAAAAAATTTAATAAAAAAAAAAAAAAACATTTGAAAAGAAAAATACAAATTCAATTATTTTCACCAAAGAAATATAGAATACATTTTAACCTAAATTTATGAAGAAATGTTATTTGCAAAATGTTATAACAAATTAACAAAAGTGTGTTTTTTTTTTTTTCAAAAGTTTCAGGTGTTTTTTGTTTTATATAGCAAAAAAAAAAGTCAGTGGTGATTAAATACCACCAAAAGAAAGCTCAATTTGTGTGAAACAAAAACGATAAAAAAAATGTTATATGGGTACAGTGTTGAATGACCGCACAATTGTCATTCACAGTGCGACAGCCCTGAAAGCTGAAAATTGGCCTGGGCAGGAAGGGGGTATAAGTGCCTGGTACTGAAGTGGTTAAATAGCTAGATGGACTCAAACTTGTTTTCGGTCTCTGAAGCAGCTGGGGGGGGGGGGGTCCGGTGCAACCGGTCAGGCGGAGTCATTGGTCGCACCTGGATCTATGTGCCAATGTACCAAGGACTGATAAGTATACTTTTCTCTCACACTTTGACAAGAGGAACTATACTCTGAATTCATTAAATAAAGGGTGGTCATCCTCACTGCACTATCGATGAGATACGTGCTTGTTTTTTGCACCTGCATGATCGATGTCTATTTGAACGGGAGCAAATACAGCTCCAACTGACCTTATGTATGGAGGAAGGTATCTGTCTACACATATGTAAGTGGATCCACATCCATAGGCAGTCTTTATATCCCATTTTCCTCCTCTGGATTATATTCAGCTGCTCCTTTCCTGACTGAATCACTATTACCATACACATTAATTAAGGATGGCTTTAATGCAAATGATTCAGTGAAACTACTACTTGGGAATTTCTATGTCCACCAGTTCATTCCTTGAAATTTATTACATCTGGGATCCTCATGGTTTATCCAGTATACCTTCACACAACAAGAACGGACAAGGGGGAGATACATCAATACAGAAGCTGCATTTTTTAATGGCCACTCTTTTTAATATATATATATATATATATATATATATATATATTTCTTTACTCTCCGTCTGTCCCTCTTCTCTGAGAGCTCTCAGTCTAATTTAATAATATAGCTATAGAGTGTGATTATTGAGAGAAGAAGACGAAGACAGAGAAGAAGACAGAGAAGAAGAAGACAGAGAAGAAGACAGAGAAGAAGACTGAGAAGAAGACTGAGAAGAAGACTGAGAAGAAGACTGAGAAGAAGACTGAGAAGAAGACTGAGAAGAAGACTGAGAAGAAGACTGAGAAGAAGACTGAGAAGAAGACAAAGAAGAAGACAAATTATTACAGTCAGTTATTATATTTGACATTAAAAAGTATTGCAGTTGCAACAATGTATCTATTTGTATCTGAAAAAACCATCTGTATCCGAAATGGACACAAATAGATACAATGTTGCAACCGCAATACTTCTTAATGTCAAATATAATAGCGGGGCTCTCTTCAGGTACAGAAGTAATTAAATGCCGGCCGTAGGCGGGAAGAAAAAAATCGGCCGATTTTTTTTACTGTTGGTGGTAATGTCGGTCTATTGAACAACCGATTTTTTGTTTTTTTGTTAAAAAAAACAGCCGGTTTTCTCCCCGTCTATGGCCTGCATTAGTGCCAGTTCACATGCACTATATTGCCAAAAGTATTGGGACAAATCACTGAATTCAGGTGTTCCAATCACCTCCATGGCCACAGCTGTATAAAATCAAGCACTTAGGCATGCAGACTGCTTTTACAAACATTTGTGAAAGAATGGGTCGCTCTCAGGAGCTCAGTGAATTGAAGCGTGGTACCGTGATAGGTTGCCACCTGCACAATAAGTCCATCTGTGAAATGCCTGAGTATGCCTGTTTATTATGATATAAACCTGAACTTCTCGTAAATATTTAGCATAATTTAAAAAAATGAAACATACTGTATCATTATGAAGTCTGAGCAACAGTGATTTAGCAGACTCTATACTCTGGAGATGGGTCCATCCCAGTAGAACAAGAAGTCGTCTCAAAGGTTTTAACTCATTTGATAGCAGCTCACCAAGAATGGAAAAGTCTTCTCCTTTTAGAAGAGTCAAGGCAGTAAGCTGAAAAAAGAAAAATAATTCTGAACAGGGATCTCTAATAAACAGTTCATATGCAATACAGAAACCAGAATTGATTTTTTACGCATACTATTGTTTATTTACATGTTTCCCTGGATAGCACAAATGCAAAATCACAATGAAAAGGCAAGCAGGAGTACCCAGTACACATGGTCTTAGATGCACTTTCAGTGCAGTCAGGCTGGCATTTCTTACGTTATATTATCAGACAGCTATCAACGCATACAGTTGCAAGAAAAAGTATGTGAACCCCTTGGGATTACATGGAGTTTTGCATGAATTGGGCATAAAATGTGCTCTGAACGTCATCTAAGTCACAACAATAGAAGAACACAGTCTGCTGAACATAATACTACACAAACATTAGATGTTGCCATGGTTTAATTGCACATAACATGTAAACATTCACAGTGCAGGGAGGAAAAAGTATGTGAGGCCCTAGCTTAAAGACTTCTCCCAGAGCTAATTGGAGCCAGGAGTGAGCCAACCTTGACTCCAATCAGTGTGATGATATTGGATGTGTTGCTGACAGCTGTCCTGCCCTTAAAAAACACACACCTGTTTTGGGTTTACTGGTTTCAAGAAGCACTGTCTGATGTGAACCATGCCTCGCAGAAAAGAGCTCTCAGAAGACCTACGATCAAGAATTGTTGACTTGCATGAAGCTGGAAAGGGTTACAAAAGTATCTCCAAAAGCCTTGATGTTCATGTGTCCACGGTAAGACAGGCTGTCTACAAATGGAGAAAGTTTAGCACTGTTGCTACTCTCCCTAGGCGTGGTCATCCTGTAAAAATGACTGCAAGAGCAGAATGCTGCATGAGGTAAAGAAGAATCCCAGAGTGTCAGCTAAAGACCTACAGAAATCTATGGCACATGCGATGTGTGGAGAAAAAAAAGGCACAGCACACAAACATCAAAACCTCATCCCCACTGTAAAACATGGCGGAGGGAGCATCATGGTTTGGGGCTGCTTTGCTGCCTCAGGGCCTGGACGGATTGTTGTCATTGATGGGAAAATTAATTCCAGAGTTTATCAAGACATTTTGCAGGAAAACGTACGACCATCTGTCTGCCAACTGAAGCTCCGCAGAGGATGGGTGATGCAACAGGACAATGACCGAAAGCATACAAGTAATTCAACAAAATGGCTGCAACAGCACAGAATACGCCTTCTGGAGTGGCCCAGTCAGAGTCCTGACCTCAACCCGATTGAAATGCTGTGGCATGACCTTAAGAGAGCGATTCACACCAGACATCCCAAGAATATTGCTACACTGAAACAGTTTTGTGAAGAGGAGTGGTCCAAAATTACTCCAGATCGTTGTGCGGGTCTAATCTGCAACTACAGGAAACGTTTGGTTGAGGTTCTTGCTGCCAAAAGGAGGGTCAACCAGTTATTAAGTCCAAAGGTTCACATATTTTTTCCTCCCTGTACTGTGAATGTTTACATGTTATGTGCAATGAAACCATGGCAACATCTAATGTTTGTGTAGTATTATATTCAGCAGACTGTGTTCTTCTATTGTTGTGACGTAGATGACGTTCAGAGCACATTTTATGCCCAATTCATGCAAAACTCCACGTAATCCCAAGGGGTTCACATACTTTTTCTTGCAACTGTAGGCTCTGACTTGCAGCAGCTTTAAAAGCACAGTGTAAGATGCTTAAAATGTGCATTGGAATTAGAGTACTGTATGCAATTTCAGCATAGCATAACATTTTGTATAGACCCTATACAAAACTGTGAAAGACAGGAGGCAAGGCTGGAGTCCAGCATTAACATCCTCCCACCAACACTACGCAGATGTGCAGCAGTAAAGAGAGTGAAGCTTTAACAGCCAACCATACACATCCATGGACAGCCGAGGTTTCATTGCTGAGAGCACACTCACCTCGTGCTCCCAACACAGTGAACAAGCTGTCAAAGTCCTGCTGGTGAGTTAAGAACCCTCTAAGGCCCTGTCTAGCTCTCCTAGAGTAACTGCCTGTCTCTTAGAATTTCCTCCATGCTCTTGAGACTGTGCTGGGAGACACAGCAAACCTTCTGGCAATGGCATGTATTGATGTGCCATCCTGGAGGAGTTGGAGAAGTTAATTTAGGGCTATTATTAGAGATGCTACGTTACGGATATTGGTGCCTATACTGAGTATTTTCACAGGTACTCATAATTGTGAAAATGCTTTCAATACCCGAAACAGATACTCTGCGGTGCGATTTGCATCCATACAAAATGCATGGGGGCAAGTTGCATTGCAAATAGTAGCATGTGATTTGAAAAGGAATGCGGTGCGGGAAACCTCCCATGCTATCACAACG